CTGAAATGTTTTATATCAAAGTGGACGTGCTGCAGACTGGAGCCACTACAGTTGTTGCAGTGAACAGAGGGAGCACGTTTTTTAAATGCAGTTTTTGGACAGCGGTCATACTTTGTGACATGTGTGCGTTCTGGTCAGAGTGGGAAATCTGACAGGAAGCTAGAAAGACTCTGGGAATCTTTCAGAGGAAACAGAAAAAAAGATGCTTTCACTATCCAAATGCAGAGGTTTGTTTTACACAGACATGTTGAATGAAGTCGTTACTATCAGCTCATGTTCACTGTAATCACGCATGAATGCAACATCAGCAGTGTTGTTAATAAAGATAAACTGGTGACCTTATACACTGTCATTATAGTCTCCTCCCTGTTAGCAATAGCATTCATGTGTTAGCACAGGTAGTATGTAAACAAAGCAGACAGTTTATCTCTAACATCAGCAACAGGCTTGGTATCAGATATGATTCATGTTCTTTGTAGTGTGACTGCAGTCTTTGGACTGCACTGTCACTGTAGAGCCACCGTGATGACACTGGTGGGGCATCCATGGATCAGAGCCCAGGGTTTGTTTCCTGTTCAGTGTCGGGCTGCAGTAGTTTGTGTGCAAATCTCTGCTGCAACATGTGGTCACCGCTGTCCTGGAAACCACTGCAAGTGATGCAAAATTGTATTTACATGCTTTTAGGTGCTGGTTTTACAGCACCATCGTTACCCTCTGCCAGCATGCTGCTGTTTACAAAGGCCTACAGTGATAAGTCAACCAGCTGATGTGTCGTGTCGTATCCTCAGCCTCCTCGGCGTGCTCTCTGATCATCTGAATGCTGAGATTGCTGCAGGAACCATCTCATCCAAGCAGGACGCCATGGACTACATCACCTGGACCTACTTCTTCAGACGGCTGATGATGAATCCCAGGTTAGCCCAGCACACACACACACACACACACACCTGTGCATAGTGTAGACACAGCCTGGTTATTGCTGTGATGTGTTGTTCAGCCAAACATCTGCTATGTAGACAGAGCCCACTCCAGAACATTCCAGCCTGTTGGTAATTGCACGCCTGTCATCCCACATTTACCACTGACGGAGGCCCAGCAGTGGCACTGTAACCCTGCAGGCCTGTGAGTCCAGATGATATCTGGATTCAAACTGGGATTTTGGGTCAGTGTTCACATTTCAGAGAGGCTTTGGAGCGTCGCTGCATTCATTTGTTCTCATCTGCTGCAAACTGTGGGCACACAGCTGCGTCTGTGTGCGTCCCTCACTGCAGCCCTGCTGACTTCACTGTTTCTCACTGAAAGATGAAGGAGTGGTTTGATCATCAATGTTATAAACAGCATTACAGTTACAAAGCAGCCTGCTGGGTTTCTAAATAGTGTTCATAGTAAACTATTATAGTTTTGTTTGCCTGACAGCTCCGTGTTGGCTGTATACAGACACTGGACTGGTAAATGAACTGGTTCTTGCATCGCGCTTTTCTACTCATCCGAGCACTCAAAGCACATTCACACAAGCACTTTTTCCTAAGTGCTCCCTAACTACATTCACGGCTGCCTCGCTGTGCCATCAGCAGCTTCGTGGCGCTGAGCCTGATGGCGTGGCTTTCAAACAGGCCCCGCCTCTGAAATGTGTTTGGTCACAAACACGCTCGGTGCTCATGTGTCTGTGCTGCTAACATGTGGAGCTGTGACAGTAACACACGCCCACACACACACACAGTGTGTGACAGTAACACGCCCATAAATGAGGCCATCCAATGTCTCCACGGCTGCTTCTACTCCTTCAGCTGTGATGTCACCTCCGTGTTAGTGCGCTATGAAAGGTTTGGTATGATAATCATAATGACATCATTTGTTACATGGTTTACATGCACGACTTCCTCCACCTCAGACAGCGTTTGCATCACACAGTTCTGATGATCCGTGTTTATCTCGTTCTTAGTGCAAACAGAGAGTTTGTGAGGGAAGTGCTGCTGCCTCAGTGTTGCTGCTTTACACCAGACAAATAATAATAGTAGGAGGAGGGCATGTGAATATTATCACAGTACAGCCTGATTTAAAACTGGATCCCTGTGAAACCGTAAGTGTTTAATAAAGTCAGAGGTGAGCAGAGCTGCCTTTCCACACGAGGAGTCACCCCATCACCCGTCAGAGAGGATGCAGGTGTAAGGCGCTCCACCTCAAAAGTCCGTCCACCTTTTATCTACAGTTCATCACCTGTCTGAAACAAACCGCTTTGGCTGCCCTCCTCTGGCCGTCCTCACATCCAGGACTCTGTGACCATCGTGGCATTCGCTCTCACTGACATGACGACACCACAGGAACAAAACTGTTTCCCAAAGTAAGAGACTGAACTTGAGCCCAGAGCAGGACTGAAGGATTCATTATTAAACTGTAGGACTGTTTTCTGCTTGTAGGCCTTTGATAATAACTGAGAAGAGTCAGTGACTCAGTTTGAGACGTGCACACATATCTGACATTGAAATCTTGTATTTTTTGTCAGTTTTCGAGGATTTTAAAACAAAAGCATCAATACGAGTTTATAAAAACTATCTTACAGTTACAATTCATCATTTCGTCTTATCAGCTTCAGAAAACATGAAACGTGGTTTGTAACTGACTATAGAGAACCAGATGGCACTAATTAGCACAACTGCCCGTCAGTAATGACCCTGTTTTCCAGTCTTACCACGATGTTGTTGATACATTCACACAGATTTTGTTGCCTCGGATCTTAAAATGTTTCCTTCAGCATGGAAAAAGCCACATGTGCTGTAGTTTCCCAGCAGTACAGGCACAAATATTGGCTTTGTGAGCTAATGGAAGTTGTCTTTGATTGTGCTTCTGCTGACGCTCAGGTGCTAACTGTTAGCATCTCTGAGCATGCTAATAACGCTGCAGCCTGAGAGTGGTTTTCCTGCAGGAGCCAGGAGAACAGCCAGCTTTGCTACTCTGTGTTTACTGGATGCTAATGCTGTTCCACCATCATCATGTCCTGCACACGCTAACATGGATGTTATTAGTGTTTACATGTTCCCAGCATTAGCCAGTTTGTTGAATCGCGACTCTGTGGAGCCCACACTACAGCGTGTGCCCTCACAGGCTGGTGTGTTTGCTGAGAACTGCTCATAGATCGTGACCTCCTGTACTGACGGCTGAGCAGCTGACTGCGTCTGTACTCGCCGTCACAGAAAGACGTGCCAGCGTGTGCTAATACCTGCTGACAGCTTTGCAGGCCGTCGTCTGTGATGTTGTAGCTGTTTACTGTCACCAGCTGACAGCGTCACACTCGGCCTGCCTTCCTGTGCTGTGATTGGTGGTTCAGCCAGCTGTGTAGAAGAGCAAGGTTACAGCATGTGAGATGATTGCAGCAGTCAGCGTGCTGATTGGCTGATCCTAATTCATTGTCATGGTGATGAGGCCAGTGCAAATGTGAGGCTTTCTTCTTTTAAAGTTTTTGGATGTATTCATGTTTTTAAACAGTAAACATGGTGAAGTAGTTTGACAACAGTTTGAAAATTTGAAGCTAATATTTCACAGCAAGCGCTACATATCTCTGCACAGTAGAGCTGCTCAGGCCTGTGATGGTTTCACACGTCAGCATGTTTGTGTGGAAGCAGAACCATCAAACAAGCTTCAAGGACGTCTTTCAGCTGTCTCAGGTGTTGCAGTTCAGTAGCTCTGACCCAGAGTCACAGAGGGTGTGCAGACAGGAGAGCACCTTCACCTTCAGAGGAGACGTTGTGCTTTGGTGCTTAAACCAACGTGTTTCTAAATGTGCAGCTTTTATTTTGAAGGCAGACGTTCTCCGTGCTGTGCTCTTGACAGTTGAACTGCTGAGTAGCTGGCGGCTGTTTGCTTCCTGTGTTAACGTCTGCTCCTACACCAGCAGTGATGTGGAGGTTTGGCCTGTTTTGCATGTACGCTCCTCCACCTGTGCTGCAGGTGGAGGAGCGTACATGATGTCACACCAATGGGAGACCACAGCAGTGTTCAGTGCATGTCCTACACATCAGCACCAAATACATTCATTATGCAAGTTAGTCTGGTTGGTATCAAATGAACATCGGTGATAACATGTGGAGCTGTTAACACAGATATCAATGATCGTGCATCATTTATTGATTATAAAACAGCTGTTTCACCTCAGAGATGAGCTGAGGAGGGAATGACCCCTCAGTCCTGCTCTGAGCCCCGTGTGATTGTTTCCACTGTGTGCTCTCTGTGGTTCAGTTATTACAGCCTAGAGGACATCAGCCACGAGTCTATTAACAGGTATCTGTCCAACCTGGTGGAGAGAAGCCTGCGTGACCTCGAGGGCTCCTACTGCATTGAAATTAAAGAGGTGTGTGATGTTTTCAAGCATGTTCTCTGCACGGTGTCACAGATGTGTTCAAAGGTTTCCTTGCATCGCCTCCTCAGGACGATCAGTCGACGGAGCCTCTTACCTACGGTCGCATTGCCTCCTATTACTACCTGAAGCACCAGACCATCCGCACGTTCAAGGAGCGCCTCAGGGCGGAGCTACCCATACACGAGCTGCTCTCTGTGCTCACGGTGAGTTTCATCTGCAGCCAGGTCATCCCTGCACGCAGCTTTCACTGAAGAGTGACTCCTGGGTGACTGGATCGTCTCACGCTGTCATCTGTCTCTGTTTATGTTACTGCTGAAAAATAAGCAGTTAGTGTGATTCTGCTGTTTGAACAGAGCATCAGCTGTTTCCACCTGCCCAGGATTCACCTGCTCATTGAGCACAAACCACCATATAAACCAGGTGAAGGCACAGGGTTACCTGCCAGTTCAACCATCAGCACAGCTGTGAGAAAACGTTCTAACTCTGTATGTAGACATACAAAGCTCTCAAGACTGAGACTGAGAGCTGCCATCAACTCTGGCAGAGGTAGAAGACAAAGATTTCAAAGACTGTAGAAACAAAACTAGTGAGAGATTTGTGTAAAGACCCCAGAACAGCTGCCATGACCCCAGGCAGGAGCTGCAGTCCCACAGCAGGACCTTCTTGTGTCCTCGTCTGGAGTTGGACCAAAGCATGCTGGGCTGAAGTGGCTGCCTTCCTCCCCAACAAGCTGCAGTATGCACTCGTGCTCTCAGGCCCAGGCATGCTGCTTCACCTGCACAGTAATGACCTGCACTCACACCTCCACATGGCCCCGCCCCATCTGATAAACATGCTCCACACAGACTGAACCTTCTTCTGTCTCAGGTTTGGCTCCTGCGTCACAGGACACAAACACAGTCCTGTCTCATTGCGACTTTCGAAGGCTCTGCTTTGCTGCTGAGTCAGTGAAAAGTGAAATCTGACAGCTCACAAAAACATGCAAGGCTGCAAACAAATCCTCGAGTTAGCAGAACGTTTGCAGCGCGGGATCACAGACCTCGCTGCACGTACGCAATAGGTTCGTGTTTGCCCCAGTCTGTACTCTGTTGTGTCTTCATTTATGTTTCTGTGCATCAGCTGCCTGATAATGTTCTCACTGTTCAGCATACAGCTGCTGGTTTTACAGATGTGATCAAATACAAACTGACGATCAAAACAAACCGATGCAGAAAATGTGAAAAGCTGTCAGCTTGTTTCCAGGCTCACAGCAGTTACTGTTAAACACAGCGATCAGAATAAGATCCACGCTGGAGCAAACCCGTCTTTTCCTTTTAACTGAACTCAAAGCCAACAGCCTGAGTTTGGACTCTGCCTGCAACATGACATTAGGACAAGCAGCCAACAAAGCCTCCTCTGCTGCTCTGTGACCTCCTGATGAAGCAGCATTAGCAGCGATTAGCCACCATGTGACATGTTGCTCTGCTTGAAACAGAAGTTCATGTTTGCTTCAGTCTGAGGGGAAATCACAGAAGCTGTCTCAGCACAGCCACGGAGCTGACCTGGAATCAGCCAATAAGAACTCAGTCCAGGCTTTACACGGACGTGTCCTCATAGCCTTTAGTTATGAATCAGACTGAGATCTGTAGAGGAGGTGTGTGTGTGTGTGTCTGTGTGTGTGTGCGTG